CTCGCTGCGAAACCGCTGGGCGCGCACGTGTTTTTGTTCGGGGCGCTCGGCCGCGAAATCCTTGCGACGCCTGAGGACTTCGAAGGTTCTCGGCGCGCGCGCGGCGAGCGCGCACTTGGCCCCGTCGTGCAATTTTTGAACCGGATGATTTGCAACGAGCGATTGTGCGCACATGAGAAATTTGAGGCGCAGGGTGATGTCAGAGGACGAAGCGGGGCGGCGGCGGCGGCGGCGGCGGCGGCGGGGCGGGGCGGGGCGGGGCGGGGTGGGGGGGGGGGTCGAGCAGGGCCTGCTTGGGTTGTTTCAAATGCATGTTCAAGATGGGCGTAGGCGCAGCACCGCATGCAAATCGCAATGCGGAAAAATGGCGCGGTAAGTCCAGGGGGGGGCAGATCCTCATACCCTTTGAGACAGGGTCCGGCTTGCAGTTGCCAACTGCACTGCTCGCGCAATCATCCCACCCGCCCGCCCCAGCCTGGGCCTGAAAAGCGCACGTGGCCGCGATTGCGGTGACTGCTCGGTGCCAGCGGGCGAGCCCCCGTGGCGGCGTTAGCGCGCAGGCTAGCGCTTAAATCGGCCAGCTAGTCTGCCGCGACCGACGCGGACGCGGCGGCGCTGGCCGCCGGGCACTTCCTGGCGCGCCTCGCAGGCCGCGCTGGCGCGCGGAAGCTCCAGTGCGAGTCAAAGACCCGGGCGCGCGCGGTACCGCGGCGACGCCGACGGCAGCAGACGCGGCGATGATAGTAGCGGCGACGATGCCAATGGTAACGACGTCCAGGAAAACGACGGCACCGATTCTGATCGCGTCGACGACGATGATCGCGCACCAGCGTCGACGAAGAAAATTGCGATCAGGATCTCGACGCGCGCGTTCGAGCATTGGCAATTGGCAAGAGCGCGCGCAGACCTCTTTGGAAAACTTGCGTTACAAAGCCATGCGTATTTTGGATGTGTTCGGCCATTCGATGTCGCCATCCTTGGGAAACCGAAAGAATGTCGAACAAAACCGGCGCGCATCGCGCAATCCTCCTGCGAGGCCGTGCGCAGTTTGGTGCGCGCGCGGTGCCGGCGGCGGTGAATGCGTGGCGCTGGCTGGCGCGCGGCGCGGCCGCGACGGCGCGACGGCCCGCAAGCGGGGCGCCCAACTGGTCTGGAGCGAACGGCTCGCTCGCGGTGGCGCCGACTGCCGGGGGCCTCCCGGCGCGCCCCGGCGGCCGCGCTGGCGCGCCAGTGCGAGCTGACGACTGCGGCGGGCGCGGTGCCCTGGCGACGTCGACAAAGAGGGGGCGACGATGACGGCGGCGATGGCGGCCGCAATGACGATGGCGACAGCAGCGCCGAAGACGGCGCCGACGCTGGTCGCGCCGAAGACGGCGATGTCCACGCGTCGGCGATGGAAGGTTCGGAATGATTCTGACGCGCGCGCGCGACGCACGAGTGCCCCGCGCAGCACAAATGGGCGGGGGCGCGCCCCGCCCCCCGCCCCGCGCCCCCCGCAAGCGCGCCAGTGCTGTCGAAAGATTGAGACACGCGCGCGCGGGGGGCCCGCGCGGTCTCGATCGTGACAATGTTGAAAACTATATGTTTCTGGGAATGTCGCAAGAACCCATGCGTGGATTTTGTTGTTTTGAATGGCGCCGCTGCGCAGACCGAATGCTGCCTGATTAATGTCTGATCGGAAACGTCTGTCTTCAAATCCCTGCGACGCTGAAAACTTCCGACAGGATCTGGCACTCGCGCGCGACGTCGCGGCTCGTCGGCCATGCCCCCCCTCGATGCGAGGGGTTCATGGAAATGCAATGTTCATGACAAACGAGTGGGCGCGCCTAACGCGATTTGTCAACTAGAGGGTCGATGACGGGCCCGCCCTGGAAGGGCGCGAATTCATCCCTGAACCGAACGGCGGGGTACTATCATGTGTACATTGCACTGTCTGGGGCGGGCCGGGGGGGGGGGGCGATGCTTCCGGGGGGGGGGGTCGCGCGCTGGCGCTTGGACAAGAGAATATACCCTGTGTGATCTGTACGCGCGAGCTGGCAACTTCCACGCTCTTGCAAACGTCCCGCCCACCCCCCCGCATCTGGGCGCGCGAAACCCATGCGGCGGCGATCGCGACGACTGCCTGGCGTTGGCCGGGGCGTCTCTGCGGCCGCACTCGCCCGCGCGGCTCGCACGCGCAGCGGGCAGCTAGTCCGGCGCGACCGACGCGGCCGCGGTGGCGCTGACCGCCGGGCACTTTCCAGCGGGCGCTTCAGCGCGAGTCGGTGACTTGGGCGGGCGCGGAACCCCGGCGACGCCGACGACGGGGGGCGCGATTGCGCAAGTCGCAGCGATGGCGACGAAGGCGTCGATGACGACGGCCGGGCCAGCGACGGCGCCGACGTTGACCACGCCCGCCGATGACGATGACGACGTCCATGGTGGAATTCGACATGCGCGCGCGGCCGACGCGCGCGAACCGCCCGCGGGGAATTATGCGAGACGGGTCGCCCCCCCCCCCCCCGCGCGCAAGGGCGCGTCGAATGCATTCGGCGCGCGACTTGCGTGGTCCGTCTGGTAGAACGCGCTGCAAATCTCAGAAGAACCGATGCCTATTTAGCAAAGAAGAGAACCCGCAAGACGGCGATGGCACGTCGTCTTGAAAACTGATGGCAAAACCGCGTGCGCATGTATTCCAGGCGCTCGATTTTGAAATCCTCATGCGCACCGCAAATGTGGTCAAGGATACGACACGCACGCACGACGACGCGCGGGCGCACTCCGTCTTTTTGTTATGTCTCTTTTTGTTTGCAAGGGATTCTCGCGACAGCGCACGCGCGGGGGCGCTCGGCCGTTCTCGACGCGCGCGCGCGCGACAGGCCAATTTGGAAGCACGTCATGGAAAAGGTGAAAGACCTCTGGTTCTTCGTGGGAAACGCAAGAGCGCGGGCGAAAAACTTGTGCAGGGCAGCTCTCGTTGCTAAACCATGGATTGGTTGCTATGTTCTCGTGGCGCCCGATGTATGCAACCCTTGCGAAATCTGAGGTGGGTGTCCTTCTCGACCCCCTGGGTGTTCGACGCGCGCGCGACGACGCGCGCGCGTGCACTTCGTGCGTTTGTTGCAAAGAGGTTGATGTCAACCAATGTTCTCGGATGAGCAAGAACGCGCGCATAAGACGTTCTGCAAAGGATGGCGGGGGACGCGGTGTCAATTGGGCTTGGGCGGTGCCAGCTCATATTTCGGCTTCGGATGGGCGGTGGGGCAGAATCGTGCGCGCATTGCAATGCGAGAAAGGGGGCGGTTCAGCCTGGGGGGGCCGTAGATCCGAATGAGAAGAAGGAATACATGCACATTTAAACATATTTTCCAGGAAGGAGAATTCATTGCGAAGAAGGGGGGTCAGTCTTCTTTTTTGAAGCAATGAGAATTCTCGTGCGCGCGCATTGAAAAGTCAAACCGCGTTCTTGTTTGCGCAAGGTTCTTGAACATTCATGACTTTTCATGAATGAATGCGCGAGGTTAGCGTTTGTTGCAAAGGATGGTGTGCGGGAGGGGGGTCGCGATACCATCTGGTTGGGGATCGTACGAACTTATAGTTTGGGTTGTCGGTTGTCTGATCAATGCATGAATTCGCCCTGGGGGGCGGGGGTATAATTTAATTGTTTGGGCAGAAAGTGAGACTCCGCTGTGCAATCTAAGCGGCGGCGGGGCGGCGACAGCAAGCACGGAACCGCCTGACCGACAACCAGGCCCAACAAACCGACAGTCAGGCCCAGGCGACCGGCGGCGACGGGGCAGCGACGGCGAGCACGGAGACGCCAGACCCGCAATCAAAGACTACTAAATGCAAGCGCTCTTGGGGGATCGGTATACATTTACATATGCATACACACACTAGCACCACGTGCGCGCTGCGCGCGCGCTCAGATTCTGGCACGCTTCAGTTGCAGTTTAAACTCTGCGGCATCGGAGGACATACATTGTGAAGCGGGTCCTGCCGCTCAGGGAACTTCGCCTGCGGCCCCAGAGACAGCCTTGGCTTAGCGTCCTCTTGACCATGTCGGCACACCCCTCACAGGGATCGCGCCCCACAAGGGGCTTCACCTACGTCCCCAGACGCAAGGTTCGCAAAATGGCACGCCCCTCGTGCGGACCGTGCCCCGCAACTAACTGCATATGTGGCACCAGAGGGAAGTTTCATGGCCTCGCCCAGCTCACTCTGGCATCTCTCTCACACGGATCGTGGCCCGCAAGAACTTCCACGGACGGCCCCAGACTCAGTTTCGCATACCGCCCCCCCGCCTACTGCGGCACACAAGGATCGTGACACACACGCAGGTTCGCACTACGCCCCCCGTCGCAAGTGCGGCACACCCCATCACGCGGATCGTGACCACAAGGAACAGCACCTAAAGGCCCAGGTTCGTATAAACGGTTTCTGAGGGGAGCGGGTCCTGCGGTTTTTCGCCGATCTCGGGATCTCAGGGCCATCCACGGGCAGCGGGACTGTCAGCAAACGACTCATGATGAAAAACTCGTCCAGGGGGAAAACACCAAGGTGTAAGACCCGCTTCCCCTATGCTGAACTGCTGTCACAAGCACCCTCCCGGCGTGAACTGCTGGGAGGCCACATTGCCATTACTTCTGCCACTCTCGCTGAAGGACCCACTAGCTGGAAGACGTATTTCGCTTTGTGCGATGATTTTGCTTCGTTTTTGGGTGGGGATCGCGCTGCGATCCTCACCCAAAAACACGAGGCGGGATAACGAGGAAACACCGGCACACGTTCGGCCTGTCGGCCGTCGCATGCAGTCGTCGTTATCCGCCGAAGGCGCGAGGCGGGATACTTCGCAAGGGAGAACCAGCTCACTTTGGGCCTGGCGGCCGCGGTATGCGGGCTGTGCGAAGCGGATCAGGAGCTCGTGTCTTTAGATCGAGCAGCCCCGAACGTGTCTGGTGGGGAACAGGCGCGGCAGAGAACACAGCGACGCAACTTGTGCTTGCAGGAAAAACGCTCTCCTGCGGGGGCGCCGTGAGCACCATCACGTCCTGGGAGGCGGAGGGGTCTGCGGCCCGCGTGGCGGCGAAGAACGAGGCCGTCGACCTCTCCACGGCAAGAGTGGGCGGGGCGGTGCAATGCCCAGATGCACTGCCGTCTGCCTCCTGCAACCCCCCTGGCTGCAGGTTGACAAAGGCGGCGAGCCCTTGGGCGCGGAGGTCAGAGGCCCCGGCCGGCCTCCCACCCCTCAAGGTCGTCGTAATGTTGTGGTGTCCGACGGAGACGGCAAAAACAACTTCTTCGTCTTCCACCCCGCGGAGCCCGACGGCAAGGAAAAGCCGGTCAAGAACGCCGTGCCGTGAGGCAACACGTTGGCAAGAACCACAGATCGGCATGCGGGATTTCCGATAAACCCGTGGCCCGCCACACCCTGCATGTTCACAACTTTCTGACTGGAGAAAGAAACAACAGCATAAACAGAAACATCTGGATCTCCGCGCGAAATTCTTAGATCGGCGCTGGGCCCCCTCCCTCTTTCTTGCGGCGCCAGAGACGCCGCCAGGAGTCTCCAGCGCCGATCCAAAGAATTCACGTGGACCTGAGACAGGTGAGCGTTTTTTTATTCGGCGTTTCGACATTGTGGCGGAAGGGGGGGGGGAGGGGGGGGGTCTGGCTCCAGGCCTCTGCTTAGCGACTGTTTGCAGCGGTGCGTCCTGTGGGGGAGACCCCACCCGCTGGAAAAAGGCGCCAACAAAAACAGTCAAGATCTACTCCACGGGGAGGGAGGGGAGGAGGGGGGGGGTACGAGGGCCCGCGCCGATCGGCAAAAAAATGGAAACAAAACGATCAATCACCAGTATGTGCTTCAGCACATGTTTCGACTTCGCCGTCTGGTCTACCCATTCGTGTAAAACCCATCCGCGACCAGGGATGCCGGATGGGCTTGTTTTCCACCACCACCACCACCATAAGTTGGAGGGGGAGGGGGTCCTCCTCTTCCTCCTCCTCCTCCTCCTCCTTCTCCTCCTCTTCGTCCTCCTCCTCTTCGTCCTCCTCCTATTCCTCGTCCTCCTCCTTCCCCCCTCCAACTTATGGTGGTGGTGGTGATGGAAAAACAGGCCCATCAGTGTCCGCTGGCCCCTCGTGTGGGGGAGGCGCGGGGAGCCTTCGCAGCTCAGCAGACGAGGCTTCAGCAGTCGATGATAAGCCCATTTCGAATCAGCGCAGCGAGGCGATCTCCAACGCTGCATCCCTCTCAGGATCCCATTGGCTTGACAATTTTCATCTTCCAGTCACCCGTTCCCAGAATACAGGACTGATCAGCTCCCCACGAGATGAAACTTGAGCTGTCCGAAAACGCGCGTGATCCCCCACGGTCCGAAAGGAGACCTTCGCCACGCCCGAACCACGCTTGCTCGATTCATGCATGCCATGGGGAATGAACAAATTTACGATCCGCGTTGCGAGAACCACTAAGTTCCGTAACGTGCAAGGACCTCCGCTTCCGAAGCCATGATCTCTGGGAGACGAACAGAAACTGTGGACTCGCGCCACCAAGGCCGGAACCTATGGTGAAAATTATGGGTCCGCGCTCCCGAGGCGACATTGTCGTGTAAAAACCACTAGGCCCGTGCGCTCGAATCCAAGAGTCGTCGTAAAAGACCGCGAGCTCGCACTCCCAAGACAAAGATCCTTGGTATAAAACTGGGAACCAACGCTGCAAGACACAAGACACACAAAATAACACAATGGTTCCGTGATCCCAGCGTCACGATCCATGATTGAAGACAATGGATCCGCACTCAGGAGGACATGATCCGTTGTGAAAGACGAGTGACGCTCTCTAGCCCAGGGGCCACGCTAATCTTTTAAAGCAAATGGATCTGCTCTCGAGGCAGCGATCCCTTTGAACACGAACTATGAGCCCGCGCTCCCGGGACAAAACGCCCTTGTAAAAATCTCACGGCGTCCGCGCTCAAGAAGTCACATTCACCCGCGCAACAGAACCACCATGGATTCTCGCTGCAAGTGCTCCGATCCCGTGCAAGAGCGCTTGGCCACGGCACTCGAGGCCACGGTCCCTTGGAAAGAAACGGAGGGCCCGCGCTCCCAAGGCCGCGACGTGTCTTAATGAATCACGGGTTCGCGCTCTCGAGGCCACGACTGACAGCAACAAGAGAGCATTACATTCATGTCGGGCGTGTCCCCCTACAGGAATTTGTTCGGCGGGAAAAAATACCTCAAACATACCCCAAAAAGGTCCACATTTACTCAAAAATAATCGCTGTACTATTTTTGGAATAGTTGTGTTGATTATGTTTGGGGCATGTTTTATTTTTCGTCGAAAATCCCTGTAATTGAGCAGGGACCGACCGTCCCGGCATTCCTATAGTCATACCACGAAATGTGCTTAGAACCCCCAAATGTTCTAATAACAAAAACAATGTTCTTAGAACATAAGTCCGATGTGTTAGAACAAGACAGTCCCAGCCAGAAGTGTTCTAAGACCATTGCGTGCAAACCACAAAAAGTTCTTGGAACATTGCTTGGTGGGGCTAGACGCGAGCCGGGACGCTTCGCCACTGCTTGAACAGCAGGGCCGGGGAGGAGCCGCGGGCCGCCCGCGGAAGGCCCGGCAGGCCTGCGAGACTGGCCTGCGTCAGTCTCTGGGCCACGCCTCTCCGCACCCCGTGCGGCGCGGAGGGTGAGGCGCGGCTGTCCTCGCTCGGGGGAGGGCCCCGAGGGGCGCTGCGTGCCGGGGAGGCGCTACGTGGGAAGGCGAAGAAGCCACTGCTTGATGCAGGGGGACACGCCCGACTTACCATCGCATGCAACTGTCAACCTACCCCAGTCCGCAGACGTCGGGGAGAGCGGCTGCGGCGCCCCACCGCTGGAAACTGGGGCGTACGCCGCTCCCGCTCTCTTTCCTTCCCTGGCCACTCGGGAGCCGTGCGGGGGCACAGCCTCCTCCTCCTCCTCCTCCTCCTCCTCCTCCTTCTCCTCCTCCTCCTCCCTCCTCCTCCTCCTCCTCCTCGTCCTCCTCCTCCTCCTCCTTCTCCTCCTCCCTCCTCCTCCTCCTCCTCTCCTCCTCCTCCTCCTCTCCTCCTCCTCCTCCTCCTCCTCTCCTCCTCCTCCTCCTCCTCCTCCTCCTCTCCTCCTCCTCTCCCCTCCTCCCCCTCCTCCTCTCCTCCCTCCTCCTCCTCCTCTCCTCTCCTCCTCCTCTCCTCCTCTCCTCCTCCTCCTCCTCCTCCTCCTCCTCCTCCCTCCTCGTCGTCCTCTCTTCCTCCTCCTCCTCCTCCTCCCTCCTCGTCGTCCTCCTCGTCTTCCTCCTCCTCCTCGTGTTAAGGGCACGCGCTCGGCAAGTTCCCTGCCTGCTCTTCTCTTCGCCCATGCCCACAACTGCCCAATAGCTCACTTACCTATTTTTCGTTTAAAAAATCAAGTTTGGTTAGGTTTGTTGCTGCTGTTGCTTGGATATGCTCGTCCTTTCGCCCTCACAAGGGGTGAGGGCGCCCACAAAGGCATGGGGCGTGAGACGAACCCGGTTAGTTCACTTACTTGATGAGCTTACCGGCTGCCTCGCGGCTTTTTTGGGGCTCCCTCGAGAGCGTATCGCTCTGCATCCAGCTGGTTGTCTGGCGGACCCTAGGTGGTAAAGTCTAAGAGCTCAAGCTGATGCATTGAAACGACTCCAGCTCAGGGCAGGCAACGTCTAAGCTCAGGTCAAGGCCCAAGCTAAGGCTATGGCCAGAATCCCACTAGCCCTTTGGGCGTGAGCGGTTTAGCGAGCTCTCTCTGTTCTCAACCCCCCTTCTTCCCCTTCGGGGAGGGGTTTACCCCTCCCCCTACCCGCTACCCCTGGGCCTGGAGAGGGCGTTCCGCGGGTCGTTGGGGGGGTCATCTTCGACTCCTGGGAGGGCTAAAAAACGACACCCCTCACGAGGATTCTGGCCCCGACGGGGGGAGGCAGAAAAAATGCTCTCCTCTTCGTTGTAGCCAAAAACATTGATTTTACTACGGTTTTGGCCCCATTGTGGCCTTCTCAGGGGGCAGCGCTCATTACTGCTCCCCTCTTCTTTCAAGGCAAAATCATTGATTTTACAAAGGTTTTGGGCTCATTTTGCCCTTCTGAGGGGGCAGCGCTCATTAAAGCTCCTTTCTTCTTTGATCGATTTCCTACAAGATGGCTCCAAGAAGCGCCCAGGAGGCACCCAGAGGCCCCAAGATGGCCCCAAGAGGATCCCAGGAGGCTCCCAAGAGGCCTCCAAGAGGCCCCCAAGATGCCCCCAAGAGGCCCCCAAGAGGTCCCAAGAGGCCCCGAAGACGCTCCAAGAGTCCTCCAAGAGGCTCTCAAAACACATCTATGACTCCTTCTACTCCTACCTCTACTCCTACTACTACTACTACTACTACTACTACTACTACTACTACTACTACTACTACTACTACTACTACTACTACTACTACTACTACTACTACTACTACCTACTACTACTACTACTACTACTACGACTACTACTACTACTACTGATACTAGCACCACTGCTCCATCTCTAACTACTATTACTAAAACTACTATCACGACTACTACTAGTTCTAGTCCTACTACTACTACTACTACTACTACTACTACTACTACTACTACTACTACTACTACTACTACTACTTCTCCTACTACTACTACTACCACTACTACTACTACTACTACTACTACTACTACTACTACAACAACTACTACTATTCCTACTACTAGTGCTCCCACTACCACTGCTACTAGTACCACTGCTACTAGTACTACTGGGACTACTACTACTACTGCTGCTATTACCTTTCGGACTACTACTTCTACTGTTACTTCTACTCCTACTACTGCTGCTACCACGACAACTACCACTACAACATCACTATTACTGCTTCTAGTACTGCTACTACTACGACTACCATTACTACTTCTATCTCTAATACTATTACTACTATTTCTCCTCATGGTGCCACGGCCACTACTACTACCAGAACTACTACTACTACTACTACTACTACTGCTGCTGCTGCTGCTGCTACTACTACTACTACTATTTCCATATAGACCACTGCTCAAGTGACTG